GACGTCACGTCGGCTGACCGACGAAATTGGGATCCTACCAAAGGGCCATAGCTACTGCCCCTTCCAGTGTCCTGTGGAAGCCTCTTGCGCCCCTACTTTTTGGCGCAGACCAGGGCTTACCACAAGAAGACCAGCTACTGCTGTTATTGCACTACCCACTCAGTAAGACTGGATAACACTGGGAAAACGTACCCGTACCACTTGGAACAGGGACGTTGCGGAAGCCCCATCCTTCCCGAAAGAGGTTTCGGAAGCACTAACACATATGAATCCAGTCTACGTAGCATCTTAATGCTCGGACGGGACAGAGCAAAGCTAGGGCTGGGTCTGCCTCCTCCGGGGGCAGCGCTTGCAGGCTCACCATCTGATCCCTGAAGGGAGTAGTGGGAACCTTGGGAACATAGCCGGCTTGGGGCCTCAGGGTTACCTGGGAGTCAGCCGGCCCAAACTCTAGGCACGATTCGTCGACTGAAAATGCGTGCAGGTCCCCTACCCTCTTGATGGAAGCCAATGCAAGCAGGAGCAAAGTTTTCATTGACAGAAACTTTAGCTCGACTGTCTGCAAAGGCTCAAATGGACCCTGCTGTAGTGCTGTAAGCACTAGAGTCAGGTCCCAAGAGGGTATAGCGGGGGGCGTGGAGGATTTAGCCTTCTCGCCCCCCTAAGGAACCTGATGATCAGGTCATGCTTCCCTAGCGACTTCCCTTCTACGGGGTCGTGGTTAGCAGCAATCGCAGCGACATAGACTTTAAGGGTGGACGGAGACAGCCTTCGCTCCAACCCTTGCTGTAAGAAGGACAGCACGACTCTGACCGGGCGTCTTCGGGGGTCTTCGCGGTGAGAAGAGCACCACTCGACGAACAGGTTCCACTTCAAGGCGTAAGCGTGTCTCGTAGATGGTGCTCTGGCCGAAGTGATGCTGTCAACTACCTCTTGGGGTATGTCACCTAGAACCTCCGCGTGGGTGCCACAGGGTGCCCCGTCTCTGAGTCAGTAGATCCTTCCTCAGAGGAACCGGCCAAGGAGGGGCTGTCACGAGGAGCATTAGTTCCGGGAACCAGGTCCGGGTGGGCCAATAGGGCGCCACTAACAGGACCTGCTCCTCGTCCTCCCTGACCTTGCACAGTGTCTGTGCTAGAAGGCTCACTGGGGGAAATGCATACTTGCGCAGGCCCCGCAGCCAGCTGTGTGCCAGTGCATCCATGCCAAGTGTTCCCTCGGTCAGGGAATAAAACAACTGGCAGTGAGAAGTTTCTGGAGAGGCAAACAGGCCTACCTGAGCGGCTCCGAAACGACTCCAAATCAGCTGGACCGTCTGGGGATGGAGTATCCATTCCCCTGTGAGCGCAGCTCGTGACAGCTCGTCGGCTTGCCTTGTAAGCGCACTTTGAGACGGATCAAGGCAAGGCGCACTGCCAACAACTCGAGGCAATTGATGTGCCAGTGCAGTTGGGAGCCCGTCCAAACCCCAGACACTGCAAGCCCGTAGAAC